GAATCAGTATATGTCCATTATTGCCACTGTGAAATCCTGGGATCATGCTCTGCCCAAGCGGTTTATGTATCGAACCACAGATATGTAGCCATTCCACACCTGCATGAGAAGTAATTACCAATGCAGTTTGGCCCTTCCTTCGGGCGTTACTGGTATCCAATTGCCATAAGCGTGACCCGTCCGCAGATAATGGGCTTACAGTCAGTGCATAGTTTTGTAGTGTAGTAGACCTGGAATATCACCTGGATGAATGAGCACAAGAGACCCACCATACGAGCCAGGATTTGCGCAGAGTACGCCTGATTTCTCAGCGAATGGCTTTGATTCTATCATCTTAGGTAAAAAGACACATTTGGTCAACTCGATCTCGAATCCCGGGAATTGTATCACGCAAGGTGGAGTTAGAGTGGATGACACCTTGTTTACGATGACTCCTAGTAATATATTACCAATTCTGTCTGTGAGCACAGACTGGAGATGGAATCAGGTCATACAACGGACACTTGTGATCGTCGATGAACCATTACTGGTTTCAGAAGTATGGGGAAGCTCCAAGGGGCCGAGTCGAGTCCGAATGGTAGTTATGTGAATGTGAATCTGCCAGATGAGACTCAGGAGGTGAGTGCTCTCTGGTGCTACGGGCACGGAGAGATAGGCGTCCTTCGTACTTAGATGTATGAAACAATCGTTGGCCAGTAGGAGATCTTGTAACATACGAATACAATCCATCTCGAAACAGCAATAAGCTAAAAGTCATTCGTGTGACGTGAGTTGATGGCTGGACGGTAGTCCCTTGTCTTTTCCTGACCACGAATATCTTCTTGAAGGAACCGGAAACAACTGGACTGCTCCTTTGGCGAGCAGGACCCGGATGCCTTCGTCAATGAGAGGTCCGCGGGTTGCTGTCATTCATAAAGGATGAGGACATCCTACCAGCAAGGGCGGAGAGTGGAATCCTATAACGTATTCCCAAACGGTCCGTAGGATCCAACCGTGTGTTGAATGTGGTGAAGAGATTCACATGCTTCACAAGTTCAGCGATAAAGGTTCGGCAAATAATAGTCCAGTTGTCGATGGTCTGATTGCTCTCCTCCCTAGGTCCAAGAGCCTGTTGTCAATTTCTTTGAAGAACTTGGGTGTCGTGGTGCCTGTGGGTTGAGTGGGATAAGCCCAGTGTGTCGACGTAATCTTGTGTGTAGCAGAACCCCTCTGGCTGTCCAACACATTTTCTTAATATTTTTTTATTTAAACATAAAAGGTTTTCGTATGAACTTATTATAGAGACTTTCCTGTGAATATATGTTACCTTAATCGTCCGGTTGTTCGGTAAAAAGCCATATAAATCTGCATTGTACTGCTGCATTCACCATCCGAACCAAAGTACCAAACAACTGGACCACCCTGATGTGAAGTGTGGCAGTAATTAACCTCCTTGTTCGTTCATTACATTCCCCTGGTTAAAAAGCACGAACACTTTGCTGTAATCCCTGGGTGGCCGCCATTTCGGCAGCCGAACATGTGGCGGCGGCCATCTTAACACACGAACAGCGGTGTTTGGTCATCGAGTGTCTGGAACTCAAATCGGACACTCGACTACCCGAACACCACTAAGACCTCCAGGGCTCCAGAAAGTACCGATTGAAACTCCCGAACGGCCCGCCGTTCGATAGGATGAATCCCACAAACCAGGGGATTCATCCGAATGCCAGCTCAACCCTGGATGGCATATACTTTCAGGACTTTTTAATGCACGAACAGAGAAGGCCAAAACTCATGGAACTGTTTTCGGCTACTTTGCCTGTGCGGTGGGTCAAATCTTTGTTTCTCCATAACTCCCCTTTTTCCGATCTGGGTGATTTTTTTATATGTTGCTCACCCAGATCAGGGGTACAAGGGGATACCACATTTAGGGGTGTACCTATCATATTTGGGGTACATCCGAGAAATTACGTTCACTGTTAAGCTGAGGGGAGGAGATGTGTGGGAGGTAACGTCTATGTGATTCGTTACCGTAGTAATTATTGTGGGTGTCTCCGTTGCAGGGGAGAACCACATAAAAGCAGGGGTTGTGGGATTAAAGGTCAATTCTACTCCTGATACTGTGTGTCGTCCAGTTATTGGGAAAGGTGATGGGAGATTACTGGATTGCCTTGCTGATTGTGCTGGTTACCCTATTGATAGGTGCGCTGTACCTTTAAATATTAAAAAGTGCAAATAGTGCAATAATTTGTGCAAATATTTTGTGCAAAAACACAGTGTGTATACAATGTAATCACATTCAATGTGACATAAGTGCAAAATGCAAATGTGATAGTGTAAAAATTCAATATCCAAAACAAATAACTTACAAGGGAAATGTATATCTCCTTAAATTCTCCAAATCACATAAGAACATATGTAAAAAGAGAGATAAAATGGAGAAACATAGTATAATATTGTTTACATAAATATAAAAACCAGCAAATAAAACTAGGAATATCACTCACAAAAAAAGAGCAGTAAAAGCCTGCTCTAACTGATCCAGCTTTAAATCCAAAAACCAGGACTTCAGTGTTGGTGCAAATAGGCAGGACACCAGCTTCCAAAAGTAAAACAGCTTTATTGAAAGTAAGTAAAATCCACACTCTCCGTTTCCATATAGCAGCCTAATAACCTTTTGCCAGTACTGTATAGTATATATCTACCAGTCCCTGGTGACTTTCGGTACTGCAGGCTTCACTTCCTGGCGGGATGAGATACACGTGAGTAATATGTGTGCTCCTCCTAACGTTGCAGGGTGTCCGGTTTCCAGTGCTGAACATCCAGAATTGAGTGGGTGGAGTGCCAGATGAGCAGGGTTCACCCTCTAATGACCGGTGCCATAGGTCATGCATTCACGCCAGGGGGTTTCCCTTGGTTACATTGGAGATATTGACAGTCTTGTAAATAAATAGGGGGGGTCATCCCTGTATTGTCCCGGAGGCTGGGATGGGTACTATGGAGGGAGTTATACAGCAGAGCTGCACCTATATATATATATAGGATATTATTGAATTTTGTTCTATGCAGTCCCAAAACTGTCGTGGCAATATATATATATAGCCTTGTTAAGGCCTGGGGGGTCACCCTAGCCGTAAGGGGGACATCCATATAGAATGTTTGCCCTGAAGGGTCTGTACAAGTCTCGCTTGGGGGACACCCAGTGTAGGGGGGTCACCCCTGTAGTATTCCTGCCACTGAAAGGCCTGTGCAGGTTTCACTTGGGGGTCACCCAGGGTAGGGCGGTCACCCCTGTATATGTATGTCACTTAGGACTGGTGCCAGACTCGCTTGGGGGTCACCCAGCGTAGGGGGGGTCACCCCTGTAATATATTCAGTTATGTGCACCCAGATATGGTATTTGAATCATGTTGCCCCAATAGAGAGGTGAACACTAGTGAGTGTAGGAGAGAGCTGAACCCTTTTAACCAGCACCTATAATCCACAATCCTGGAGTAAACACATCCTGCATGTCTATTTATACCTCCATTGTGCACACACCTCAGGGAACAATGATGTTTACATATATAAGAAAAACCTGCAGAGAAAAGCTTTGCCAGTTTGTGGGAATCATGCACTGGTGAAACCAAGATGGCCAACGTGAATCTCGCAGAACCGCGCGATCCAAGATGGTCAACGTTTGTGAGCAAATATGCTGTGCGGCCTGCGATCGCGGCCTGCCTGTATGGTAAAGCGCCCCCTGGCTCCCCCCACCCCCAGTACCCTTGCCTTGAAGCCCAGAACCCTGTCAGTAGAGAAGACGCGATCGTGGTAAAAAGCCATTATCTGCGCAAGGATAGTGAGAGGGAAACACAGGGCCAGCAGAAAAACACAGATAGAGCAATATTAAATCAACATAAGGGGTAAAGCAGGAAGAAAGGGAGCAGGGGATAAATACAATACACAAATGTTCAAATAAAGTGCAAATAACTATTACAATAAATGAACAGTGTGGAGCAAATTACTCTGACTTGTGACTTGGCTGGAGCAGCAAAGAAAGAGGAAGTGATACGGGGGAGGGGCCTTTTATACCCTGATGCAATGTTTTTTTCACTAAACTTTATTGTTAAATCTGTGCTACTGGAGGTTTAGTAAAGAGAGATTATGCAAAATACGAAGCCTCCTATCATGTTATAAAATTAGGGATAGCAACTAGAGTTGAGCGGACACATGGATGTTCGAGTCCGGCGGGTTCGGCCGAACTTTGAAAAAAAGTCTGGGTTCGGGCTCGAACTTGACCCTGAACCCGAACCCCATTGAAGTCAATGGGGACCTGAACTTTTGGCCACAAAAATGCCTCTAAAATACTCCTGGAAAGGGCTAGAGAGCTGCAAAAGGAAGTAGGAAATCACTAAAAAATAACATAAAAATGTAAAATACAGCTAAGCCATAAAATAGCCTTAGATGGAATCTTTGATTTTAGCTTTGGAAGAATATAAAGCAAAATCTAAAGCATGGCTGTCAGGAGGATCACCAGAATTATCCATTTGAGAGAGGGTTGGAGTGCAGGGTATTCTCTTTCATTGTTCAAACTGAGCTCAACTCCTGATGCATGGAGAAAAGGCCTTCACAAGCCTCTGCTAATATGTACCTAGTTTATACTAAGTGACCCATAGGTTGAGGAGGCGGTGACCGTGGCGGTGTAGGTGGAAGCAGCGGTGGCGGAGGGGGGAGGAGGTAGCCAACACTGTTATTTATGGTTTGTTTTTTTTTTTGGACATACAACAAAATAAACATTTGCGGCCTGCAGTGCATTTCTTGCAGACCTGGTGCATGGAGAAATGTTCAACTCCTGATGCATGGAGAAAAGGCCTTCACAAGCATCTGCTAATGTGTACCTAGTTTATACTAAGTGACCCATAGGTTGAGGAGGAGGTGACCGTGGTGATGGAGGAGGAGGATGAGGTAGCCAACACTGTTTTTTTATTTTTATATATATATATATATATATATATATATATTTTAATTGGGGTGGCCCCCAAAATATTGGGACATATAAAAAAAGACAACTCTGTTCCGCAGAGTAGCTATTGACATTATATTTGTGCAGGAACTTTGCTGACTCTAGAGAACCTCGGGCAAATCGCACATCCCTGTGGCGGCGACTTTGCATGCGGATGTCATCCATATCAACTTTCGATGCCAGTTTCTGCGCCTACCATGGTGACCACGGGTAACAGGGAATCAGGGTTCCATTCGTACAGGGACCCTGAGAAATGGCTACCACATGCAAGGAAGGCAGCAGGCGCGCAAATGACCCACTCCTGACGTGGGAAGGTAGTGACGACAAATAACAATACAGGACTCTTTAGAGGCCCTGTAATTGAAATGAGTCCACTTGAAATCCTTTAACTCTGATCAATTGGAGTGAAGTCTGGTGCAGAGCCACTGACCCGTGCGTGCTGCAGCTGAAACTCCACTATCACCTGCTGCTGCTCGCACAGTCTCATGAGGCGGTGAGCAGGAAGGCTGAAGTTACGCTGCAGCGCAGACAGGCGAGCAGCAGCAGTGTGACAACGCCAAAAGCGTGCATAGTTGCTACAGTGAATGTCACATCCTGTTCCAAGTTGCGGATCAGTCTGGTGATTAGTGCACCCCACTAATGTACTACCCCACTAATGTACTACCCCACCTGCACTAACGTACTATTTAGCACCAAAAAATGTTTTACTTTTTAAAACTCTGATGTAACCGCGGTATTTGAAGCTTCTACTTGACTCTCAGATATAAAGTGCACCCCACCCCACTAATGTACTAGTTTGCAGAATTATTTCCTAAGCTGTCCCTATCAGTGACAGCATCCTCTTCCTACACTAATAAGACCGCATGTGTGTGCGGCGCTACGTGACTCCAGCTTATATATAGAGGCTGGGTCACATGCTGCACTGGCCAACTAATGGCATGGCTGTGATGGCTTCTAAGGGCACAAGAGTCAAACACTTGTTAATTGGCTGCCCTGCAGCCTTTGAAAACGCGCAATTAAATCGCCGAACACTGAACTCCAACCCAAACATACAGTGATATGTCAGTGTTCGGGTCCAGGGTCCAAAAAATGTTCAGTTCGGGTTCGCTCAACTCTAATAGCAAAACATGAGAAGTACTTGGGAATTGTTGTAGACAACAAACTATGAAACAATATGCAATGTCAATCAGCAGTGGCTAAGACCAGCAAGGTACTGTCATGCATGAAAAAGGGCATTAATTTGTGGGATGAAAATATAATTTTGTCTCTTTATAAATCACTGGTAAGACCACATCTTGTATATGATGTGCAATTTTGGGCACCTGTTCTAAAGTAAGATATTATAGCACTAAAAAGAGTGCAGAGGCAGGCTAAAAAGTTAATAAAAGTAATTTTAGGTATGAAGAAAGGTTAACAAATTTAAACCTGTTTAGTATAGAAAAGAGTCACCTCAGAGGGGATATGATAACATTATACAAAAATATCTGAGGGCCAATACAAACCATTGTGTGGAAATCTATTCACAAATAGAACTGTACATAGGACCAGTGGTGTATTCTGGATTTGTGCTGCACTAGGCACGACTAAATTCGGGCACCCCCTAATCTAAACTTGCTCCAACATTTTGTATCAAAGCCACTTTTTTGACAGACAGACACACCCTCATTGACACATGCACTGACATACACTCACAGACAGATAAACATTCATTGGCACACACACTGTTTAAACAACCCACAGTTGCACTGATAGACACACACTTACACCCACTCACTAACAGGTACACACTCTCAGATACACATATACTGACATACACACACTGACACACCCATTCACTAACAGGTACACACTGTCAGATACACATATACTGACATACACTCACTGACACACCCACTCACTAACAGGTACACACTCTCAGATACACATACACTGACGTACGCACACTGACACAAATATCCTCACTGATTTGACAGACACACACATTCACTCACAGACACACTGCTGACAGTTACACACACATTGACAGACACACACTGTGACGGACCCCCTCGTACCCCGACTAGGTACCTCCAACAATCGATGCTTCCTAACCAACTCTGAGGACCATAAGAACCACACCCAAACACTGATGCCTGTCACAGGGTAAGAGGTTGGCAAGTATGCCCATCCAAGAAGCCATGACAAGGTCCAGTTTGTCACACACACTGATAGCCACCCATAGATGCTCACTAACTGACACACACATTTTCTCATAAAAATGTTTTTAAAAAATTAAGTGTATTATTAAAATCCAATTAACCTCCCTATCTTTGAGAGAGTTGGAGTGGATCCTGCCCCTGACTGCTGCAATGTCGGCTGCAATAACTCCTGCTACTTAAAACGTCTTTAATTAGGGATGTGGACGACAGCCGAATAAAATGGGCACATAGTGGTGAAAAGAGATGGGATATAGCACTACAAAGCACTAATGATACAAATAATTCCTTCCACAAATGACTGAAAAGTACTGTATGTTCCATGGCTACCAAAACAAAGCAGAAACCAGACAACACAGTCTTCTTCTCAGAAAAATCACAAAGACAGCGATGCACTCTGGACTTGGAGCAAGATGGCGCCAAAACTCTGCTTAGTGTGGTATCACCAGAAGTAGAGGGAAACATACAGTCTGTTATAAAGGGCCCAAATACAGACTCCTAAATGCTCTCCCTACTACATACCCTCTCCATCGACCTTTTCCACCAATTCAAAGAAAAGGTGGCAGGCATCAACAAAGAAATTGCAGATATTGGAGAGTGGACATCTAATATGGAAAACAAAATGGATGACAATAATAGCATGGCTGACCAGGGGCGTACCTAGAGCATTTGGCACCCGGGGCGGATCCTGTGCTTGGCACCCCCCCCCCCCAAAAAAAAACCCTGTAAAAAATGTTGAAGGTTTTCTCTCTTTTTTTTTTATAATTTGTAAACTTTGCAAAACCGCTGTCAGCCCCTCCTACAAAACCCTTGTCCTGCCCCGCCCCTCCTACAAAACCTCTGTCCTGCCCCTTCTACAAATCCTGTACTGCCCCGTCTACAAAACCCCCGCTTATCCCCCCTTATAAAGACTCCTGTCCCAATACAAAACCCCAGCCCCCTTCTACAAAATCCCTGCAGCCCCACACACACATTTACACACAGTTTACATGCAGACAGTCACACACTCAGTTACAGGCAGACAGTCACACACAGTCACAGGCAGACAGTCACACATACACATTTCCTCCGTGCGGCCAGTTTATCAGCTGTTTGCTTGTGTGAGCTGTACTGGCCGCAACGGCACCCTAACTACCATGGGACACTGTGCGGCCACAGCTCACACAGCCCCCTCCAGCCAGGGCCGGTGCAAGGATTTTTGCCGCCCTAGGCAAAAGTAAAGTTTGCCGCCCCCCCCCATGTGACATCACAATGCCCCACCCATATGATTTGCCATGTTAACTAACGCCAGTGCTGCAGTGCCGCCGTGTTTACATTAAAAGGCCTGCAGGGACAGGCTATAGACACCAGAACCACTACATTAAGCTGAAGTGGTTCTGGGGACTATAGTGTTTCTTTAATGTGAGGTAAATTAGAGCTTAGTGCCACGAATAATATACTAGATTGCCTACTTACAACCAGATGAGGATGATGATGGGCTCTAGCTGCAGTCTGGCTCCACTGGTCTGGTGCAGAACAGGCTCTCTGGAGGCGGTTTGTAACTGTGGTCACAAAAATCAATGTTCTGGGAGAACGGGAAGCAGCTCCATTTTTTGGGGGTCCTTTACACAGCTCAAGGTCTGGGTCCCAGGGTCCACCTTCATGTTCCACCAATGAGTTTGTTCACAGGGGGTGGAGTGTGTAAGGGATGTCCTGATATGTGTGTAAGGAATGCATTGTGTGAAATTGTGTTTGTATGTGTAAGGGCTGCAAGGTGTGTTTCTATGTATGTATGGGATGCATTGAATGTGTGTAAGGGGTGCATTGAGTGTGTGTAATGAATGCATTGTGTGTTTCTGTGTGTGTAAGGGATGCATTGTGTGTAACGGTTGCATTGCTTGTGTATGTGTGTCTGTGTGTGTAATGCATTGTGTGTTTTTCTGTGTGCAAGGGGTGCATTGTGTGTATGTGATGAATGTCAATCTCTCCTCCCGCTCCAATTTCCTTCTCCTCCTCCCAATTTCTCTTTCTCACCCCCCCTCCTAATTTCTCTCTCACCCCTTCTCTCTCCCCCCTCCTTTCTCTCTCTTCCCCCCTCCTCCTTCTCACCCCCCTTTCTCCTCTTTCTCACCCCCCCATTCTCCTCTTTCTCACCCCCCCCCATTCTCCTCTCTCACCCCCCCATTCTCCTCTTTCTCACTTACATTCTCCTCTTTCTCACCCCCATTCTCCTCTTTCTCACCCCATTCTCCTCTTTCTCACCCCATTCTCTTCTTTCTCACCCCATTCTCCTCTTTCTCACCCCATTCTCCTCTTTCTCACCCCCATTCTCCTCTTTCTCACCCCATTCTCTCTTTCTCACCCCATTCTCCTCTTTCTCACCCCATTCTCCTCTTTCTCACCCCATTCTCCTCTCTCTCACTTGTTCTCTTCTCTCTCACCCCCATTCTCTTCTCTCACCCCATTCTCCTCTCTCACCCCCCATTCTCCTCTTTCTCACCCCATTCTCTTCTTTCTCTTGTTCTCTTCTTTCTCACCCCCCTCCCCCCTACCTCCCTGTAGCGTGGCCGAGCCCTGTATAGTCCGCGGGTACAGGGAGCTTTTGTTTCCTGTACCCGGCGGACTAACAGGAAGTGCACACTCAGTGTGCACTTCCTGTTAGTCCGGCCGGGTACAGGAGACAGCTGCTCTCTGTACCCGCGGACCATGCTGCAGTGAGGGAGCTGACAGGAGAGCTCCCTCCTGTCAGCCTCTCCTCAGGCTGCGCCCGGGCGGTGCGGTCCGCCCTCATGGACGCACCGCCCGGGCAAAGCTGCAGCCGCCTGAGGCTCTTCACAGAGCGTTTGGGCGGCTACAGCATGGGGGGGGACCGGGGGGCTGGTCATGGCACCCCCCACCCGGCTGGCACCCGGGGCGGACCGCCCCCCCCGCCCCCCCCTTAGTACGCCACTGTGGCTGACGTGGTCTTGGATGTGGAACATCGGCTGCAGGCATGCACTGACAAAATTAACAATCTTGAAAAACATTACAGGAGGTACAACTTGAGGATTAGGAGGATAGTGAAATCTATAAACCACAAAGCTCTTCCAGCCTACACTCTTAACTTTTTCTACCACCTTACTCCCTGAAGTCAACCAAGACCAAATC